CTTGTCTTGTCCGTATTTCAACATGACGAACCCTGTACAACTCTCTGACGCACGTTATTAGTTTCATGAACGCATGAGATAGATCTATGAAGGACAGATACATAATTAAGCTTTTTTAAAAATCTTAAATGCATTAAATAGATGTTTGATACAATAATACGTTGAAGAGAATGGAAAAATATTCAATAACTTTGCGTTGATGTAATTATCATTGAATACTTCGTATTACCATGTGAGCGTTTATCACTGAATAGATACAGTTCGTCATATGACCACAACTTCATTGTGAAATCATATAAATAGAAAGAAATTTCATTGTGACGTCATAAATGATCGACGCCTTCAATTCATACCACAGAGTTTTAAAAGATAAAAACATTTTATGGTTTAAAATTAAAATTGTGTTGCATAAGTGTTTGCTATAAGTCAGCAAATATAAGGTGATATATTAAAAATTTACCGGTATATAGATACATGTATGAGTTGGTCCATAGATTGTTTATGAAATCAAGAAATAATATTAACAATTTAGTGAATCTAAATAGGAGGTGTAGGAGTACGGAATGCTCTTACTATTACTCTACAGAACTGTTTATTTTGAATAGGTATACATTTTCTTTTTACAAATAAAGAAACTGATGATGTAAATGTGAGACGGGATTGGAAAACATGCACATACGTTTCACGAAAATTTTGTGTTGGTATAACAGTTTTCATATACCAATTAAACATTGAATTAAGATTATACAGTTGAAACGTCTATGATCGTTTCTTGTTCTAAGATATAGGCCTATTTACATTCTCTAAAAGACCGTTTCATACCAGTCTCTGACTCAAAAATTCAAGAAGAAAGTTCTCTTTTATTCTACCGTATTTAAACTGATTCTAACCATATATCTGTAAAAAATCAATAAATGAAAATTCATACAAACCTATTCCAGCACCGACAACTATTCGTCCTGCTAAAAGCAAGTATTTATCGCCTGCAATCGCCATACAGAGGGCCCCCACTGTAAAAACCACACTGGCCGCCATGATCACCGGTCGCCTTCCGAGTCGGTCATTCAGAAAGCCTCCAATGGGGGCAAAAAGGGCTGCAGCAGCCACTGTGACGCTGACAATGTATTCCTGCCAAACTAGAGACAATTGGAACTCATCGCGGAGGACAATCATTGCACCAGAAATCACACCAGTGTCATATCCGAACAAAAATCCTCCGAGAGCAGAGAAAAAAGTCAGAACATAAACAAAACCGGGTGTTCTTTGTTGAGATGAGAGACTGTCAATTTTCAAACTTAGTTTTTCCTCCTCTAGGTCGCCATATAAACTTTGTGGTCTTCGAGCGCCGTTTGCTGTGGCACCATTCATTGTCCCCGACATTTCTCCCTGTTAAGATCACAGGTCAGCCAAGTACTCCCCCCGCACAACCTCAGCCTTTGTTGGTGTCTTCATGCATCTGAAGACCATTCTCTGATGTCATCACACTGAAGCTAGCTTGATCAACTATTGGAAAACCGAAGCGCTTGGATAAGAGATTTTGTCATCGATCGTTCCGCTGTCAACTAAAATTGGCCTCTTTGGGCAATGGATGCTACCTGGAAAGCTAACAGGTGAATCTTGATATCATTTATTGACAGATTTCACCATGTCGCCCTTAATATCATTTAATGAAGCTTATCTGGAGAAGAATCAATTAAATTCTACGTAATTAATAAAACGTAACATCAAACTATGGTTTCCGAGACTAAAGTACGCAAATCAATACGAAAATGAAGCGTAATTTCGCTCAAATCATTGCTGATACAATAATAACATTCCACACAATTTTTAAAGACCGCTTTTGTGCCAATGGACGAAAGAATCAACTGAATCCATTATAAATATACACAAATACTTGATGAATACAAGTCGTTTTATTATAATACCAATATTAATTCCTCTTTCACATAAAAGAGATAATATTTTGAAATTGATTTTTTTTTGTTATTCAGAAGCAGCTGCTTAAATTATAAACACAGTAAGTCTGTATCATAATTTTTTTTATATAAAATCAAAATGCCTTCACCATTTATGAAGAAATTATTAAAATGGGAACAGCGTCCCAGTGATTTTACACTACATGGAAACCTTTCATGCATGCAGATGAGGTCTTATAAACATTTCGAAAAGGAGGCAATGTTAGTGTGAGATAATGATGACAAAATACCAGTGGGAGTGAATTTGGAGTAAGTGCACTCCTGGAGTCGGTAAATATTCCAGTGGCCGTGGCCATTCTCTTTAAAACCTATAAAGCCATCAAGATTCCATTAATGTCAGTTTGTATAAGCTTATTGGGATTTCTTCAACAACCAAAACACACGCTATCAGACTACAGTGTCTAGCATGAAACACTCGTTCTCAGTGTCCAAGACTTAAGGGCAAATGATAGCAAAAAAAAAAAAAAAAAAAAATGGATACCTAGATTGGTTTATACTTTTGACCTATTTTGGTTGTAAATGATGCAAATGTCAATTTTCTAAAATATTAAGAAATTGTAAACTTTCTAAGATGATCAAAATTTTATTTTTCTGCAATCATCCTATAAATCTTTACATTTTTTTTATCCTTTTATGAGACATGTGTGTGAAATTTTGAATAAAAAATCAAAATTTATTCGTTTAAACTTATTCAGTTTACTAATATAAACATAACTAAAGTTGTTATTTTAATGGTTTTTCAAAAAAAAAAAAAAAAAAAAAAAAAAAAAAAAAAAAAAAGATTACTTGTATCATCTGTCCTTAAGAGAAAATTTACATTTGAGTTCAGAGAAAAATAATAAACTATGCTTCTTTCGTTACGTGTCCTTTGTAGCTTTGAAAGTATAACAAACAAAGCCGTTGTATATATATATATATATATATATATATATATATATATATATATATATATATATATATATATATATATATATATATATATATATATATATAGTGAGAGAGAGAGAGAGGATATTCAATGTTTTGAAGATGAATATGGAATTTATTTCACGAGTGGGACAAGATTTTTTGATATTTTCACGAGTGCGAAGCACAAGTGAAAATATAAAAAAAAATCCTGTCTCACGAGTGAAATAAATTCCATATTCATCTACAAAACATTGAATTTTCTGTTTATTACATTTTTTTAATTTTCCCTTTGTCTCTGTCTTTTCTTAACACAGTGTCGTAGGCTTAACGTCATAGTTGAGCGGTTGAGACGTCATAGCTTACCAGTTGTGAGATTGAAAACATTACATAGCATGGATTTTAGCAATATATTTGGGAAGAAATTTGCAGTTTTAGCTCTATCAAGATGGTTAGTTACTATCTCTATATTATGACAGGCCAGAAATTATTTTTTAAATACTTTGATATCCTTTCACACTGTGAGAGCATATCATTTTGATATTCTTTCACACTGTGAGAGAATATCACTTTTATTTAATAAATAAAACACAGTATTTCACTGTTAAAAATGTAATAAATATATATAAACAAGTTTTTACATTTGATCAATAACTTGACAGAAATTATGAGACAGTGAAGTATGAGACACCTTTTGTTAGCCTCTATCATATAAATCACCCAGTAGAAGGAGAAAAACGGAGGATATGTAATTATCAACTTGTTAAACATCTACATCGAGAGTGAGTGTTGTTAAAATGAATTCCCTTAATGAAGGTTCATAACCAAAACGTGGTAAAATAGGATGTGTCGGGACATAATTTTTAGGCAAACACAGCGAAAAAAAAACAAATTTTAATTTGTCGTTTTCAAAGATAAATAAAGAAAACCAGTTATTACATGTAATATGGGGATTTTTTTCCACATCAGAAATGTATCCAGATTGCCTACGGTCTCTCAGAAAACGGTAATATACACGATATACATGTAGAGGTGTAAACTCCAAGGGATCAGAGGTATATCTTAGTGAGTGGACAATAATAACACATACTAGTATTCATTATGGTTGCATCGTAAAAAAAAAAGTGTTATACAGGTAAGTACATTTGATGTAAAACTATTTGTAATTATTATGTTGGATGATCTAAGGAGACTGTAATTTTTTGCTTTGTGCAATCTTAGTGAGGGGCTGTCGTTACTGTATCTCGGTGATATTACTACCTTTCTCTAAATAAACTCTTTAACATTTGTTGTGCAATGGACTTTTTTCCTAAACCAAAAGATATTCTTTTATGACCATAATTAGTTCTTTTACATCTTTCTTTTATATTTTCATAAAAGTACGTGTACACACCACGGATCATCCCCTCCTCCACCTCGCTATTCTAAATGTTGTCTGTTGTTGATGAGAATAATTTTACCAAATACATGCAAGTTTGAATCATTATTGCCTGTTACATTTAATTTTCAATGGACTACATTTACAGAATGTAGCTTGTCATTTCTGCTGAATCAAGACATTTAATTTAGCTCTCATCAACAAAATTGAACGGTTAAATACTAGTCAATAATTAACAAAGTAATAAATCAATATTCGATAATTAGAATTTGTAAAGCAAGGCAGAAAGATGCACAGTTCGGTCACAAATAGATATACCATTCTTTCAAGCTAAAACAAAATCCCCCCCCCCCCCCAAATTCAATTAAAATTGTAATAAATCCTTTAAATTAGCGGATATTTGAGCATGAATCCAGGAACTTTATTCTCATTATTGACATAATGGAGAGAGTACGTCTGTTACTCAGTTCAATCAATTTCTATGAATAAAATATTGTTCTAAATAATTAAAATCATTAATATCCTTTTGTACTGTCTCTGCAAATTGCCGGTCTGAATACTAGTACATGTATTCAGATTAAGGTATAAGAACATGAAGAACTGAGACTTGAAATAATTGAAATTTTGCTAAATCAACTTTTGAATGATAAAATATTTAACATTAGGTAAAGTCTTTGTAGATCAGTTAATATGTATTATCAGAACTTTACTGATTTCACAGATATATGGTGAAATAAACTGTTAGAGATTCCCTTGAATTTGTACTAGACTTTAAGCTGTCTCAGTACGTTATGTACTTCATAACTATGACGGCAACAAAAATAATTGTTGATAAAAGAACGAGAAGCATGAAAATGATAAAAAAGAAATGATCCAGGACCTCGGCGACCATCTTCCATGTTAATTCAATCTTCTCTTCTTCCTCCTCCTCCTCGTCCATCACGTCATCATTTGAAATGACTGGCATTTTCACAAATTCCTTTACGGGAGTTTTTTCAACAGTTCCCGTTTTGTTTGATCTACACGGACGACAGCCAGGATACATACAGAAAAGTTTCATGAGAAACAAAACAAATCGTCTGGCCCAGGCAGGGACTGGTTTCGTGTCTGGGTTGTGATAAACGTTGATGACAATTATGACAAACAAGACTGCTATAGTTCCAGCCCCAAGAACCGCTGCCAAGTAAATCGCTGAAAGAGATGAATAATGTGAAAATAATAGACCTTATAAGTACTTACAAAGAGAATATTCCTTTAAAAAATACATTAAAGATTATGAAAAATAACTAGGGCATTGGCAGATATATCCTTCAATATTTACATTTGCTGTGTTTTTCTACTAAGCCAACTGTGACTTGCACGTATGCTAGCGCGCTTCATGAAATATGCCTACGTGACAAGTCTGTGTGATTTACACACCATAACTCACACAGAACTTAAAAAACATTCCTTAAATGTTTAACATTTAGCTTTCATGTCACTTACACATATAACATACAGACACGGAGGTACTTGGAATGTTTTCCGATATGACAGACAGATAGACAGCGTAAGCTAGCAGTACTGTTAAAGAGTATCCAATTTTTTCTCCAGAATCCACATGAAGCTTGAACGTCAGCGGAATAAGGAATGCCATCAAGGCTACTGGAAACATCGTGTTCAGTACGTGGAACAATGGCCTTCTGCGCATGCTTATTCTAAAGGTCAAACTTGAGAAAGATTGGCCTCCCCTGGTTTTGTCGTTAGATTCCACCCCCGTCGCAGAGAGAAGCTCCCATTCCCCATTTTCGGCGTAAAAATTAAGGTTAACGGGTTCTTCTGCCAACCTGAGTCTGATTTCCCATAAAGTGTAACTTGAGGTTGTTAATTTGATGTCACATGTTTGATAGTCTAATGGGTAGTACGTTATGTCCGATTCGCAGTTAACCTTGTAGATACCTGAAGGACTCCATCTCACAAATCCAATAATGTTTAGACGCATTGGGGTGTTATGGTCACTTATCACCGACAAATCGTCGATTCTGAAGTATTGAGAATTAACATTTCAGTAAAATAGGAGTATATTAAAACGTTTTAAAACTGATTGAAAATAAGAAAAATCAAAAACATTTTCAAAACATATTTAGTACTGCAGAGTGTACAGTAGCGTTGAAGTACGTGTATATTAAACTAAAACCGCTGTAATATTTACTTACGAATTTTCAATGAACACGCACGGTTTCCAGACGTAGTTCTCATTGCTGAACATAAAGATGATGTTGGTGTAGGTCTGGGAGAGGTTCCGGGTGCTGACCCACGACAGTCGAGGATCATACCACACCTAAAGAATAAAGCAAATAAAAATTAACAGAGTATTTTGATTAAACTGACGTATATTGAAAATGCACGTTAATAAATACTTAGCCAATCCTGATTTCTTACCAGGGAAAGTTGTCCGGACACTGACAGAGTCTGGTCCTTTATGTTCTGTAGTAAAAAAAATCCATCAATACTTTTATTTAATTAACGGGGTGGTTACTCATTTTGAAATTACTTAACAATCAGAATCCTTTTACTTATTTTACTGCACTTAAGATGGAGTCTTCTAAGCAAGAAAAGAAAATTAGGAGATACAAATTATCCTGTTTCTTATGACATTTTTTTGTGGCGCTTGACAGACACATTGTGATCACCTTGTAAAAATGCATCTCAGTAAGGTACAAATTGTGTTTTATTGGTCCAGTTGTATGAACAGATTTTAAAATTAGATATCAGTTTCTTGAAGTTGCCATTATGGAAATAAAAAAGTTAAAGAGCAGGCTCTTTGTCGAGATAATAGATAATATAACTGCTCAATAAAAATGGAATTCCTAAATTTTCATACCTTGTGATCGATTATCTACAAAATTACTTTGTTAACAATCATTGTGTTTGTTTGCTGTTTAACGCCCCTTCGAGAATTTTTCACTCATACTTCGACGCTATCACTTGCCGGTGGAAGGCGTCAAATTAAGACCTGTACTTGACACATAAGGCCTTTGAATCGTGAGGGATCTTTTTCGTGCCGGTGTAAAGACGAATAATGACCCCCATAGAATAATGACCAGGGGTCATTTATCGACGTTGAAAAATGACTTTCGGTCATTATTCGACGTCGAAAAATGACCCTTTTGCTTGTAGAAAAAGTGCCATCAACCTTAAAATCTGCATATCCTACGTAAAGAAAAATGACCCCGGTAGAATAACGACCCTTTGTAGATTTTATTAACCCGTTATACGGTATATTTACTTTTTGGTTTAAAAGATTTAGAATAATAAATCAAGAGGCCCGTGGATCAAAATGCTCACCTAAGGTAAATTGTGTATACAGCGATGATCTTTTGTTCTCACTATATCTTTCAAATGTCTTTTATGATAAATTGACAACATTAATCGACTTCATTCTAAACTATGTGGAAATGCTTTCATATTGATTTGACTAATGTATCATTGTTTAGTAGAAGATTTCCTTTTTTAAAATTTTTAGCTTATATTATCCAAAGAGAGAGAGAGTGTGTGTTTTGTTTGTTTGTTGTTTAACGTCCCTTTCGAGAATTTTCCACTCATATTGAGACGCCACCACTTGTCGCTTGAGGACTACTTTACTGTACTCGGCACTAAAAGCTTTTGAGCAATGAGGGATCTTTTTTGTGTTAGCGCATACTGCGTCACAAGGCATTGGTTTATACGGTATCATCGGAAGGACCGGTCTCCATGTCGCACAATGGATTCGAACCCACGACTTAAGGATCAAATCCTTACGCCGCGACGCTAGAGCAAACGCTCTAACCACTGCGCCAGCGACCAGAGAGAGAGAGAGAGAGAGAGAGAGAGGAGCTGTTGAAAATATCTATCTACCGGTTAATTAAGTTGCGTCCAAGTGTCTGTTTTTAATACAATGATTTTAACAGGGTACATACATGTAATTTTCGGACATATAGCAAAAGTGTCTAACAATATGAATAAGAAGAATTACGTGATGTTTTAGACTGTCGTATATTTTCATGAAACCGAAAAAACAAGCACTAATTAACTATCCAGTGAACATAGAAACAAAAGCTGAGATGCAAGCAATTTTAACCTAAACTGCAAAGGAATGGAGTCAATACAAAAAATATTCATACATGTATCTCGTTACCAACGTGCACTTATCCATATGCTTTATACATATACCATGTTTGATTTTCTGGATGCTCTCCTTTATCAGAGAAATGTCTGGTCCAAAGAGGAAACATCAGATCTGTTCGAACAAAGTAAATATCCAGTTCGTCCGAACAATTCCGAACAAAAACAATTAATCTACTTTCTCCTAGCGTACGAGTATACTTAATTTGTCAGAAGAAAGAACAAAGATTTTGTTCTTCCGAACTAAGAACTAACTTGTCAGAACTATTGAATGTATCTTCTTGTTAAAACAAAAATCTCATTCGTCCAAACAATTTTAATTCTTTTCTGGGCTTCAACGGCACAATGCTATTGCATGATATTCCGTTTTTAGAAAAATTATTGCCTTCTTGGTTTTTTTGTTAAGTTATCAAGATTCTTGAATTACAAAATGTACTTACTAACAAGATCATTTTACAATGGCCCAGAAATTACGTTGATTGAGGAGTTGAAAGCCTTTTACCATCAACTTATTTGTCAGTATCTTCCCAGTGTTTGAATGTTGATTGTACTCAGACCATGCTTAAGCGTACGAAATAAATTGGGAGGCATAAACACCATATGCAGGCGATATTAGAATATTACTACATAAATACATGTAAGAAGTTGGCAATGGAAAAGCCGATTGAGTTTGTTTGGTCATAAACTTCTATTATAAGTAAAGTAAAGTATCGAAATATGAAACAGATTATAAAAAAGATTGAAACAATAATGTTTGCTATATTGCAAGCATTGGAAATACATAGTGTTCCTTACATAATGATCACATAAGGGCAGATTTTCTACCTCCCGGAGGAAAAATAACTGTACAAGTTTGCTAACTCGTTCGTTGTGTGAAAAAGTTTGTCCAACTATTTCCATGGCAATGGAAACAATTTTAAAAAAAATCAAATGTAAATACATTTGTGAAGTTTCCTTAAGATTGTCCAAGGCAACCGTGAGAACATTCTTGATATTTGTCATTTTTGTTTCCATGGCAACGGTGGTCACTTTGAAAAATCGAAATATTTAATGAACATTTAGAGTACTGGTCTTTATTTAAGAAAAGCTACATTAAGTTTGTCCGAGACATCTCCGATAAAATGCTCGGACAAAATAATCGGTCTAGCGATAACAATATGTCGTCCTGACTTAAGTTCTGGACAACATGCTAACAGCTTAAACCAATAGCCACTGTGACGTATCTATTGTTCAATTTTAATTGTATGCTGAGATTACAATAAGTCTGATAAAAAGAAACATATTTAATACTTTTAAATACTTTGATTGCGTTTTTGTCAAGTCTTAAGGACATACGCAACGTAGTTTGAACTTAATTGTCTTTTCCCCTGGATTTGAAAAGTTCCGATATCCAAAGGAACTTTAATGTCTATTTATGCTGTTGTACACTTCTTCTAAATCAAGTTTGGATACACAAAACATCTAGAATATAGGTTTGGTAATTTTCGTATATTTTTCTTTGAATTATACAAGAATTTTCATCAATTGATATCTTTCAAAACAACTTGCAATGCATGCTGATTTTTAGTCTACGGACATCTGATGGCACTATAATCTTAAATTAAGAATATCTTGAAAAATTATCGGTAGGTAAGGTACGTTGTGTATGTCCTTAATCAGAAAAACGGAAGAGACTTACCGTTGAGATCCAAACCTTGGCATCAATCACCATTTTTTAAACTTTGTATCACTCTGTTGGGATGAGGCCATTTTTCAATGGGGGTCAATTTCTTATAGGTTGCACATGTAGAAAACTGACCCCTAGATTTCTTTTTCTACAAAAAGAATACATTTTCTACGGATATGGGGTCAATTTTCTACGGGAGTCAATATTTTTGTTTACACCGACACCCACTGCGTCACGGGACCTCGGTTTACAGGGTCTCATCCGAAAGATCGGTCTTCACGTCACAGTGGATTCGAAATCGCGATGTAAGGTCAACTCCTAACTCCACGACTCTAGAGCAAACGCTCTAACCACTGCGTGAATTAAAAAAATTGACCAAACGAATATTTATCAATTAATCTGCACTAAAAAAACAGGCAATGGGAATAAATTTTTATGTCTAAGCATATGTCTTTAGAAAGTGTCTAAATACCAACCAAATATCTCCTTGATATCTCAATTCACAAAAAAGTTATGCCCAAAAATGATGCTAAAAATGTCAAGAGTGCAACACCTTTTTGTGACATATTGAAATTCAATATTTTTTGAAGATCTGTGAAATAAATGATAACAGAAAAAAATGTAGTGTTGCCAAAAAAAAAAAAAAAAAGAAAAAAAAAACCCATCGATTTTAAAAATATGAAAGACAATTAAGTGGTAAAAAAGAATTTTCAAAGTGTAAAACAATAACTGATATACAATTTAAAACTTAAAATGTTATATAAATCACAAGCAGCATTAATGAGAGTCAAGTATCTGAGCATACCCAATATTGTCAGGAGTGCAACATTTGATGTTTTTGCTCCCCAGCATGAAAATACTTTTATCAATATATGATTCTCTGATTTTTAATTTGGAAAATAAAGACCCGAAGAACATTTTTACCAAACAGATTTATCAGTTACAGGGTCTGTATGTGTTTCAGATCTATATTTCTATGGTCAGGAGTGCAACACATTTTTTTAAAGATTCAAGTTATATGATGAAAAGACTTCTATTCATGCTAAGGAATATTCTTAAATAAATAATGATTTATTTGAATAATTTAATGCTAAATTATTGATAGATTTATTATTAAAATCCTTCTCTTTTTTAATTTTGTTAATGCAGATGTGTTTTATCTTTTCTTTGATTTTTGTAATGAATGTAAAAAACAAACACCCTGAAAAATTGTTATAAAATTCAAGTAATTCCACCTCAACGTCACTGAAACAACAGAACAAATTCTAATGTTATTTTTGCTTCACAATTCTACTTTAAGGACTCCCATGCTCTTGGTCAGGAGTGCAAAAAATATGTAAGAATTATTGCTGATCAAATATTAATAAATATAAAGAAAAATTAATGAGTAGAACGTTTCTGGTTGACCTCAGTTGCTTACAGTGTTTGTCCTGTGAAGGAAAATATACTACATGTATAAGATATATTTTATCTTCTAAATATATATTTCAGCTTTTTTTTTTTTTTTTTTTTTTTTTTTTTTTTTTTTTTTTTTGAGATAAATATAGGGAATAATTCAAGATATTAAGCCAAGTTTAAATACTTTCATGTGTTTTAATTATGAAGTATTGGACTATAAATATTGCACAATTTCGTTACCACTTGATGTTGCCAACACTTTGTGAATTTTTGTGTTCTATGGTTTTGATTTTTAATTTTACTGCAGCCAGGAGTGCAACAAAACTGTTTTACAATGATCTTCATCTATCTTAACTAAAAAAAAAATTGAAAAAAATGTTTGATGCCATTTGATGTTCAAAACATTATGTCTATCAACTAATTACAAACATTTTATAGTCAATTCAGAGAATAGTTTTCATCACTGAACACATATTTTCAAATACAATGTATACATATTACACATTGCAAATAATCATGTTTAGAAGTCTTGAAAATATGAAAAACATGCCATAAATGATAAAAAAAAATATCAAAACGATGAACTGATTTACAAACTAGGAATGGGTTATTGTGTGTTATAATTTTTAAAATAATGTTAAATAAAATACATATCAGATGTCAAGAGTGCAACACAATAATGTAAAATAGGGTCACTTTTAAATCTAGTATTTTTTGTAAGAAAACTTGTATATAAAAATTCTTTTTTGGCTTAGATTTAAAGAATTGACTTAAATGTGCTAAAAAGTGATTTTGAGGGGATTTTATTGTTTCATATTTCTTTCATATTAAAGTCTTTCAAACCAGAATTGAATAGATAATGTAATATAACAATCAAAAAGTCAATTTTTCCACATATACAAGGAAGGCAACTCAAACATGGTTTAGATCTAATAATTTCTATCGTTCATACCATTTTGATGCATAAGTAAAACTTCTTTTGATTATATATTTTAGAAAGTCTTTTAGGGTGTAGTGATGTTTTCTTTTTTTCAAATTAAGTTTTACTTATAAAATATCTGAAACTTTTTTTATCCAATTGTCTATTCTATTGCAAATTCAGGAATTTTAACTATAATGCATGTACAATATGATGATATAAATAATTAATATGTTATGGATAGTTAACTTTTTTCAAAAAAATTCAATTTGGTGGTCATTATTTTTGAATTCACAAAGATGCAGTAAACCTTTTATACCCAAGATTTTATTTCAGACTTTAAGGCTCACTTCGGAGGGTATGTTGCATTTCCTTGCCTTATAATAATAAAATTTTAGGTCAGAGGTTAACAAAACATAGGTCAAAGTTTGTCTCTAAATCTTAATGGAAATGCTTTTTTAGTTATACGAGGGTTGTTCGGAGAGTTCGTGGACTATGCCAGTCTTCGTTATACTAACTTCAAGAATTTAAAATGAGCACATTATCATATGTAAAAATATTTATTTTGTTTGAGTGTGAAGTTTCATTCCATGTGATTTAATAGAATTCATGTTATTTAATTTTAAAATCAACACGTCTTGTAACCACGGAGCAAACTCAACAACACTGTAACGTCAAAAAGATACTGACATGAGGTTCTCAAAAATACTATACATGTACCTATACATTTCACACAGTATTGCCCAATGCCAGTGTACTCATTAAAACGTTTCTCTATCATTTGAAATCTATTTTGCTAACAATTGTTCTAGTAGCACCATTTTGTCTGTCAATGTTATATTTTTTTCACTGCATAAGTGTGCTTTCACAAGATCAGCATCTGTGAAGCGCCAAACTCTTATCGTGACGTTACTAATTTTTCAATGTTTTTGATAAGATTTTTACAGATAATCCGTTTTCTCACAGATCACCATCGTCTAAGCAGAGTAGTCCATCATTCAAATACCGCTTGTACCATGTACACACAAATGCATGGCTCGCTTTTAATATATTTCCTACTTTCTCAGAGTTTTTTATTCTGGAGTTTTCCAGAGTACAATAAAAAATTGTATGGTTAACTGCTGCTCCGTGACGTTCTACGACGTCATCTTTTTTGCATTTTTTCAATGAGGATTCCTTATCTTCTGAAATTGATTTCTTTTCAACGAAGCAAAATATTAAGTCATAATTTGGAATCAGAAACGACGAAACAATTCTTAATTTGAACGTGCAGAATTTTTCCGTTTTTGTGTCATTTTACAGAAGATATGACTTCAGACATTATTTAGTGTCTTAATTGCAAATTACAAAACTTTGACCTGCTCCGCGATCCGATTTTCGCATTTTTAAAGTCTAAATAAGTTTGAAATAAACCACGATATTTAAAATTTTTTTGAAACACATCATTAGAATTTACTGTTGAAATAATTCTTCCAAATTTGGATATAATATGACGTTAAGTAAAAAAGTTATGACGGTAGTCCACGAACTTTCCGAACAACCCGGCCTCGTATTTAACATTTATGTACTTAATGAAATGATCAATGCGTACTAAATCTTTATCTAAAAGAAATTTATTGATTTTTATTTTTTTTTTTTTAAACTCTGTATTCACTATCTATTAAAAATGCTTATATTTCTAATTTATCGAAAAGTATAAAATTTCATTCAAAATATCCGTTTCAAACTTATATTATCTATGAGAAATAATGATCTACAAAAAAGTTTACATCAGATTGCAAATATTTTGTACATGTTAGATTTAATTTATGTAATGGATAAATAACGAGATGGTGTTGAATAGTTTAGAGAAAACATTCCCTCCGAGGGCCGAAGGCCCGAGGAGGGGATGTTTTCTCTAAACTATTCAACACTATCGAGATATTTATCTTACTTAAAAAACTTCCCTACTGTGGACCCCAAAGAAACATTTACCCATTCATATATCCAACTTTGCTGTAATACAATAGGATCTAGCTCATTTAGATATCCAACAGTGACACAATACAATAGCCTAATCGAACACCCCTTTTATTCATGGACTAGTGAGCATGAAACTCCATGGTGTTAATGTCATTTCAAACCTTTCCATTGTACTGAACAGTCATGAAATCAGATGAAGAATAGTTTTAAATCCAAAGTAAAATTAGAGCGGTTTTTTTTTATATATATAAGATGGTAATTAAAGTTAAAACATTGTCAAAAATTTATACAAGAACTGACGCTTTACACGTTTTGCTCTTATATAAACAGATACTATGAGTCATGTGACCATGTGTCCTTCTCCTTAAATCCAAAGTAAATTTTGAGAGGTTCAGATAGTGTTCTGAATACTTTTGACCTGAAAGCAGAAGAAAACTACAGAATTTTGATAAAAGGTTGGAAATCTATCATTACATATAAGACGATGATTTGTTGGGGAAAAATGTTTGAATCTTATGGAGTTCCACTCGGAGAATACTTCTAGTAGTGCTAAAACAGATGAAAAGATTGTCAGTGTTATGCGGAACCTGCTTTAAAAATATTCCATATCAAGATCTGCAATAAAAAAAAAGTATCAAAAATAGATGGGCTGTCAATTTATTAAATTGTTTTGGGAAGTATGCTGGAAAAGTATGAGAACAGAGATGAACCTCGAATAATCTGAGAGGATTTGCTGATAACGGACCCCTGAAATAATATTCAGCAACAGGAAATGATGTGGTTTAAGGTTCAAGGTGAAAATATATTTAAAAGCGTGTCAAAATGTGATACTTTCAAAATTTAAGACCGGAAACATTCTGTTAAAAAACCATGGATAAGTATTGGATATTTTATTGACGACAAGAGTCTAACAGTGTGCAAATTCGGAGGAATTGTAAATTTTGTGAGCGTTGGAAGTACATTTTAACACGATTCTTAGGGTGTGATAAATGCAAAGTGATTAATTCTGTGTGCATTGGACAAATTCTAATAGTGTGACAAATTCGGAGTAATTGTTTTTTATTTGCATTGGAAATACATTTTAAACTATTTTATCTCTTTTTTTTCATTACTTAATTATGTTTGTATGCACAGTTGGATATTTAAATATCCAACCGATGGGCAGTTGGATATTTGAATATCCAACTGATGGCCAGTTGGATCTTTAAATATCCAACTAGTGCTGGTTGAATCGGTAAGATATACGTAGACTAATAACAATGGGTGACGTCATTGAAGTTTTTTAAGACAAAATAATTTATGTTCCAATTAGTTGACGTTGGGTCAACATTTTCGCTAAATTGACTGGACTATTTACTGTTTAATGACTCATACCAGAAGTTTAATGATTCATACCACTGTGAGAAGTGTAAAAATTTACTGTAAGAAGTGTACCTGGTGTGTTCCAATATTTACACTGTGAGAAGTGTAACTGATGCGTAAAAGAAGTGTAAATGATGCGTACTTGATGTTTACTCCTAGAATTGTGAATGAGATACGTACAAGGTCATTTACTGTGAGGAGAGTGAGTTCTACTTTGACATGCACTTGTTTGGTAGGTCTCTGTAACACGGAATACCCGGTAAAAATCTCGGTCCTTAGCTGACTCTCGAGTGCTGGGGAGTACGTTGGAGGGGGAGGTTTACCCTTACTCCTGGCACTGAGCACCGGTTGAACATACAATAAAAATTCTGAAAAACAAGGCAAGAATGATGGTTAATCCTTCCTTTAAGCTCATAAGGTAAACAATTTCCAGCAAAAATGTACAGTATTTATACTTAGAAAAGAAAAGGATGTTGCAAGCAGTTTACAATTGTATACAGAGATTTATATAAACAATGGTGACAAATTAAAACAGATTTTATAGCATGGGCGAGTATGGAAAGAGACAAATGGTATAGTTTATAGGTATATGTATTCACTAGATCCTGATCGCGGAGCACATTTTCGTAATATTTATATTAAAATGTACAGTTTTCTTAAAAGGATTTTTTTAAAAATATCATTATTTCTCTAAATGTAATTATATTTCTAAACCGTGATTGCTTTTGTGATACGTCTATCATGTTTTTGCAATTTACTATGTAGTGCAATTCATCGCCTATTTCGTTTAAATGATATATATATATATATATATATATATATATATATATATATATATATATATATATATATATATATATATATATATATATATATATATATATATATATATATATATATATATATATATATATATATATATATATAATATATCTCTATATATATATATATATATATATATATATATATATATATATATATATATATATATATATATATATATATATATATATATATATATATATATATATATATATATTACATATTTTATCTAGTTTCTATTGGTTCATTTAGCTAGCGTCCACTTTCAATCGGTGATTCATTTAACAGAAAGTAATCGCATCTTTTCTGGACGGAATGGCTAAATATTTTTTCGAATTTTAGTTCTTCTTTGTACATTCTATAGCTTAAAGTCTATGATAAATTTTGATTGTTCGAATTCCACTTATGTTAAAATTGATCAAGTAAAGTTTTACTTTCGATCTCAACCAATATGGATTAAATGTTTGTCTTTGCAAATTATAGGAAAGTCTGCAATTGTTGAGAATATTTACGACATTATTTATCCAAGCAATCTTTATAGTATATTGATTTGTAATATCACTTTATTTGAACAGTAGATTTGATAATTATGTTTCTTTTCCAAGTTCAAGTTTATACCAGTGTGAAAGAATACGGATTTTTATTTCTATTGACATATAGAATGTCGAACAAAGAGGTTTTCGCAATACATTGTCAAATGCTTTCTCGAAGTATATAAAGTTTTTTCTTTTTTAATTTCAGTAATTCTGATAAGATATGTAATGAAAATAAATGATCAAGAATTGAATATAATTGTTTTCTAAACCCTGATTGGTTTTCGTGCAGTATTTCGTATTCGTGTGAAAGAGCATTTAATCTGCCATTCAACATGGATGTGAAAAGTTTACCAATACATTAAGATTGTTATAGGTCTATATATAGTTCTGAGGATTATTATTTTATACGGGAAAGATATTTCCTTAAAGCCAACGTTCGGATGATTCACTATATATTTATGTCTTTACCGGAAGCTTTGTTTGTTTGTTTTAATAGGTTTAAGTATTTTGTCTTGTGAGAATATTTATGTAAATCGTGGATTATTCTTCTATTACTAGTACATTTATTTCATTACCTATCTTTTTTTTCAACATTGTCTGGTATATCAGGTGCCTTATTTAATTCATTTTAAAAATAATTGAATAATTTTTAGATATTGATTTGACATGCGTTGCGTTTTTACTATGTTTATTCAATATTTACCAATACTCTCGGGGAGTTTTGATTCTCATCTTTTATAATTTTATTTTTCCTCATCTCTTCTCTGTATCTATCTATTTCTCTGTCTAACACTCTTCTATATGCTTTCTCTTTGTTTTTATAGTTTTCTTTAGCTTTTGTGAACATTTTTGAAATAATAATCTTTGCTATTGCGATATATTTTTTCTTGCTTTGTAACAGGTTGTAGAAAACCGTGGCTTGTTATTTTTATGAGTGTGTGTGTGTGTGTGTGGTTTTTTTTGTTTTTTGTTTTTTGTTTTGTTTGTTGTTTTTTGTTTTTTTTTTTTGTTTGTTGTTTTTTCATTATTACCTTTGTTACATCTAATGATTGTTTAGCTGCATAAATACATGTGTAAATTTTCATTTAATTCATTTTCTTTATTATTAACAATTTTTTCCGGGTTTTCCCTAGAGTTCGTCATTTGATCTAAGTCTGTTCTCATTTCTTTGGCGCGATTTTATCGATAGCTTGAACAAAAGTATATTCTTTCGCACGATCCCATGGTCTTACTATTTCTTGATAAAATATAGAAATATTTATTATTGTTTTATTTCTTGGTTTTTGTTTTTCTAAACGTAGTCCAATGGGATTGTGGACGTCATTATACTTTAAAACTTGCATATTTTCTAATTCCAAATTAAATTCACATTGTCATTCTTCAAGAATATCATTGAATTTATTTACGGTCCTAGCATGAAGATCACCTGCTAAAATCACACAATTTTAAACACTTTTTGTAATTCAATCTCTAATGAACTAAATGCATCCTTGTTACTATAATTATTTATATTTATTCTGGGGGAATATATTCAATTCCAACTAAGATATTTTTATAAGTATTTGAAATTTTGGTCGACATTTCAAAGCATAAATTAGCTATTGCTTTTGTGAATGATATTAATTTTTTTCTAAATTCTTGCTTATACGCCAATACTATTCCTCTAGAGCAGTTTTTACCATGTTTAATTCTGTTTTAAAATAAAAGTCAAAACCATCTGAGTGAAGGTTGTCTAAATCTTAAGTTTTAGTTTCTTGAAAACATTAAATGTCGTATCTTTTTTTAATTCGGGGATTTCAGTTTTTGTTTGATCCCACATGATCTTTATTGAGCCATCAGACCCAAAGTTTCTAGCATCATGTTCCCCTGCGTAGCCCTATCTCCATCTGGCGTGGATGCTACACCCCTCCTTTTGTATGCTTTCCCTGGTTCGAATTCAGTCAGTGTTAGGATTGGATCATACGGTTGTCCATTGACATATGTCTCTGACTAATTTCACCTGTTCTTCGTTGTTTCGAAGTTCTTTCTTGATTAGATAGGGGCTTTTCTGGCTTGCTCGATTTCACCCGGATACTTTAAATTTGAATAGAGTTTTCTTTCAGTTTGTATGCTGACTTAGTAACATAGTCTAAATTTACTCTGGTAAATGAATTTGACAACTATAGACCTTGATTTATTTTGTGTTGTGTCTCTTTCAAAACCTACGTACGTCGGCAATCTCTAAAGAAACATTAATTCCTATCTTTTGGAAGAAGTCTCTCAACACTTCCTCATTGTCTTTCCCTACGACCTCTGTTATGCCTATGAATATTAACTTGTACTTCATTGACCTGCATCTCAGATCAGCGATTTCTTTCAAACAGGAAATTGCTATAGCCTGTTTCTTATGAAAAATATGTTTCCAGACCTCTCTGAGAGATTTTCATGATTTTAAATAGATAGGGGCGGGGGTGGAGGTGGGGGAGGGGGTAAAATCACAATCTACTTAATCTTCGCTTTTGTGATAATTTACGGCGAAAATTGGAGCTCAGTAGTGACAATTTTTTCCAAAATCGCCCAATAAGCTGGTAAAAAAAATGTGTAATATCTTCTACAATGAACCTTTGTTTACCTTATATGGCTATTGTTATTAATGCACACAGAGGATCTTACCACGAACAATTGACCAATCGTTGAATGAATAGCAACGTTTACTGGGCAACTACATGTTTACATTTTACTTCGAACACGTGGTTCAGGTCAATCTACGATCGATATTAAATGACTGTAAAAACCAATTCAAAAAAACTGTTTTTAAGAAAAAAAAAATACAATGATTAGAAACTATGAAAGATTTCACGGGCGTTTGCAATTAGTTGTTACGTTGTTAACTAGAAAATGTATATAATAAAATGTAGTCTGTGCCACGTTCAGAACACCTGCACTTCAAGGT